TGGGATTAAAGGACTGGGCTACTATACACAGATTTTTAAAAAATTTCTATGTATGTATTTTGTGGTGGTGGGGCACATGTGTTATGGAACATTGGTGTAGGTCAGCGGACAACTTGTGGCTGGCCCTGATGTAGATTTTCTTTTTTGTTGATTTTTTTTTTCTTTTGAGATAAGGTTTCTCTAGATAGCCCTGAGATCTGCTTGCCTCTGCCTCCTGAGCGCTGAGATTAAAGGTGTGCGCCAGCATGCCTGACCAATAGGTAGTCTTTAAGTCTATGGGTTTTCCTTTTGTTTTAAAATTTAATTTTATAGGCATGGGTGTTTTGTCTGCATGTATGTCTGTGTATCACAAGTGTGCCTGGTACCCACAGAGGCTAGAAGAGGATATCAGACCTTCTGTTGTGTGTTAGCAACCACATGGGCACTGAGAATCCTGGAAGAGCAGCCAGTGCTCTTAACTGCCAAACTGTCTCTCTAGCCAGCCTCTTAAATCTATGCTTCTTTACTACTTCCCTGGCAAACTTCTTAGAAAATAAATGACCTTGAGAACTTTTAAACTCTTTGGGGTTTCTTGTCCATTAGGATGTAATGGTTCTTATGTCTTGGCTGTATCAACCAGAATAATTTCAAAGTCATTTTTCAAGGGTTTAGAGAGTACACAGGGAGACAGAGTCTGTACACTGGGTTTCACTCTGCAGTGCATCTCTTTAGAACTTGTTTGACTTAAGTCTGTCCTGGTCTTGTGCATGGCTTCTTTCTTTGGATCACTACGGATTCTAGGGATTCTAGAGATCACTAGGGATTTGTAACAGCTATAGTCAAGATTGGGTCACTGACCTCCTGTGTGATGAGATGTACATTATAAAAGGAGTGGGAGGGGCAGCTTCATAACTCAGGCCTCTCGACTCAGCTCTGTTTCTTTGTTCAAGAAATACTTGGCAGCTAATCTAGCTGGGTTATGTTGTAGGAGACTGAATGGCCTGATGCAGCCAAGGACTGTTCCTGTTCCTGTCACGAGGGAGGTCCTGATTCTAAGCTGAAGAAGAGCAAGAGAAGGAATTGTCACTGCAGCAGCAAGGTTAGGAAGGCATTTGATATACTGGGACCGCCTAGGCCACACTGCAAATGCTGGCGGGGCTTGTTGTGGTTTGTGGGGGTGTTTGTTCGTTTGTTTGATACAGCTTAGGCTGTCTTGGATGTTACTGTGTAGATGAGGCTGGCCTCAAGCTCAAAGGAATCCTCCTTCCTCTGCCTCTGAGTGCTGGGATCAAAGCTGTGTGCCACCACACCTGGTTATGCTGTTTTGCCACAACAGATTTGTGTCTTTTTGAATTTATAAAGTGATCACACGAATCAGATTATACACAGTACACACTTATGCACATATGTAAAGCAAATGGACCCCTGTGCAACATCCAGAATGGAACCAGGTGTTTGGCTTGTAAGCCTAGCAGTGAGGAGGTGGAAGCAGGAAGACCAGCAGTTCAAGGTTATCCTCAACTACATAGCAAGTACGAGCAAGGGATGTCTAACACCATTTCTCAAAACGAAACTAAAAGGAAATGATGAATTTTCCTTTTGTTGTTGGCTTTTGTCTTTTTTTCTGCCTTGAGACAGTGGTTTGTTACATAGCCCATGTTTACCATCTTCCTGCCTGTGTGTTCTGAAGATTGGGACTATCAGCACAGTTTTCTGTGGTGCTATGATCAAATCCAGGGCTCCTCGTATGGTAGGCATGCACTCTAACAATTGAGCTATATCTGCAGTTTTAGCTCTGTCTTTTCTTTTTTTCTCAGGTGGAGGTTTTTGGTTTTGGATTTTTGAGATAGGGTCTCATGTAGCCCTTGCTAGCCTCAAATGCACCATGTAGTGAAGGATTACCTTGAACTCCTGCATCCACTGCTTAAGTTGGATTTTGCTTTTTGTTTAGTTATTTGTTTTTCTCTAAGACAGGATTTCTCTGCATAGCCCTGGCTATCCTAGAACTTGCTCTGTAGACCAGGTTGGTGTCAAACTCAGAGATCCACCTGCCTGCCTCTGTCTCTAGAGTGCTGGGATTAAAGGCGACGGCCACCACCTCCCAGCTGGATTTTACTTTTTAAAGAGAGTCTTTGATTTGAACATGGTGGTTCATAGCTGTCATCATAACACTTAGCAGGCAGAGACAGGAATCTAGGAAATAAGATCCTATATAGCACGTTCTGGGCAGCCAGGAACATAAAGACCCTGTCTCAAAAAACAAAAAACCTAGTGGCTGGAGAGCTGGCTCAGCAGTTAAGAGCACTCGCTGGTCTTCCAGGGGACCTGGGTGTCTATTCCCTCCACCCACATGACAGCTCACAGCTGTCTGTAATTCCAGTTCTAGGGGAGCCACTGCCTTCTGGCCTCTACCAGCACTGTGAGCACATGGTGCACAGACATCCAGGCAGGCAGATAGTCAGACAATATGCAAAAATAAAAAGCATTAGATAAACACACTCGAATCTCATAGATAGTGGAAGTAAAACTACATGCTGAAGGGTTTCCTCACAGCCTCTTGCTATTGCCTGGGGACCTGTGTGAAGTCTGTGCTGCTCTCCTGTTCTTCCTGCCTTCAGGTTCTAAGTGATGTCATTATAGGTATGCCCTACAATTAGCTCCTTAAGGTTTCACTTTCTTTATATCACATAAACCTGCGAACAAAACAGACTAGAGATAACTTTGGTTCTCCAGAGTAAGTTGGTTGCATCACAAATGCAGTCCTCTTTAGAAACAGAGGGGTCCTAGCTACTTCAAAGCATGTTGGCCGATTTGCTGAATAGCAACACAGGCCTGACCTTGGAGGGGCCTGAGATGTAGGAAGGTCAGGACACTTTTAACCTAGAGAGTCACCCTTGCAGGTCTGTGATAGCAAATCCTACAAGAGCAAGGAGCCCCTGGAGTTGGTGGGCACTAGCCCCCACCAAGAGGTCAGTCCTATGCCCAGCACTAAGGAAGCAGGACAAGGCAAGGAAATATTGGAAGAGGAAGCCCTGGAGGAGCAGGAGAACATTGAGGCAGTCCAGAGTAAGACTGGCAGGACCACCAGAAAGGGAGAGACACCTATTCCAGGTGAGTGACCTGACTGGCACACTGTGACTTTCCCTCCTTCCTCCTCAGCCCACTTTCCCACACTGTAGGAAGCTTGATGAGGCTAAAACACCTTTCCAAGGAAGGGATGGGCATGATACATCTTTCATAGACCATGGCAACCCCCTTTCGCATTAACCTCTGTCACAGTTGGGACTGCTATAAAGCCAGGCAGTGGTGACACCTGGCTTCAATGCCAGCACACAGGAAGCAGGGCCAGGTATTCTCTGAATTCCCCAACAGTCAGGGCTGTAGAGTGAGACCCTGTCTCACAATAACAAAACAGTATTTTCCCAGCCTTGTGTTCTCTCTTCTGCCCTCCTTTGCGGAGTGGCTCCGTTTCCTCCGCTAGTTTTCCCAGCGGAGCATGTTCCCATAACTTCCCAGTGGCTTGTGCTTTTCAGTTGTACCCTGATCCCCGAATTCCTCCCAAGCAGGGCCAACAGTAGGGAGGGCTTTGCTGTGCTCTGCACAAATGACTGTCGTGGAGCAGCCCTTGGAGGGCTCAACACTCTGCTCACCGGACACTCCTCAGCTTCCTGCTCAGACTGAAGCTCTAGTCTCCTCTGTCAGAAGAAACCAGGCTGGGCCTGAAGGTGTTTCCTGTATTGGTACATCCTCCGAACCTCCTGAAGATGGACAGGACCAAAAGACTGCTGCTACCTCAGAGACTATTGCACCACTCCCAAGTGCATCAGAAACCCAGAAACTGCCAGGCACTGCTGTGCTCCCCGCTTCCCTCCCGAGTCCTGTTTCCTCAAGGACCAGAGACACAGGGAGAAGACACATATATGGGAAAGCAGGCCCTCAGAGCTGGCTACTTGAAAGTGGAGCTGAGGCAAAGACAGCCCATGTGGTGGTACCTATCCGTGGAACTTCACCGGGGATTACTGCCTCAGAGATTGCCCCTAAAGCTGCCAGCGGGGGCATGGCTGAAGACAATGGGGCACAAGGCAAGGGCCCAGAGGGGGGTCTAAAAGCCTCAGAAGCCACTGTCTGTGCTAACAACAGCAAGGTCAGCTCCACCGGGGAGAAGGTGGTGCTGTGGACAAGGTAGGTAAAGGTGGGCGGTGTTTGCAGAGAGGGGAACACAGATCCAAACAGCTTCTTGGGCTAATCATGCTGCCTGATCACAGGGAAGCCGACCGAGTGATTCTCACAATGTGCCAGGAGCAGGGAGCACAACCTCACACCTTCAGCATCATCTCTCAGCAACTGGGAAATAAGACCCCTGGTGAGGTGAGGTGGGAAGGGGCAGCTGGTTATCAGAAGGGTGGCTTGATCTGCCAGGTGGATTTTCCCTGTCTCTGGATGTCCTAGATCAGGCTGGCCTTGAACGTAAGATCCTTCTGATGGCTGGAATTAGAGGAACTGTGTCCTTAGAGAAAACCGGTCTATTCTTTTCTATACGGAATACACAGCTCTTGGTCTTAGTGGCGAGTGGGTGCCCAGTTTGGTCATCATAGGAAGAATGGAGCAGTGAGCACACCCTTTTCCTTTGTTAGGTTTCCCATCGCTTCAGAGAACTCATGCAGCTCTTCCATACAGCCTGTGAGGCCAGCTCTGATGATGAGGACGATGCCACCAGCACCAGCAATGCAGACCAGCTCTCTGACCATGGGGACCTGCTGTCTGAAGAGGAGCTGGATGAGTGACCTGGAGAGGTATGGCTATCATCTTCCAGGATCAACTCAATCGTCATCTGTACTGGACAGAAGGTGGCACTTCATTTGTGGAGACTCTGAGGACAGAGGGGGTCTGGAGGTGGCTCTGCAGCCTGTGTGTCCCTCGTGGTCATTGGGGAAGACCCTACAATCCAACCTGTGCATTGTGTTGAGGGAGAATGGTGATCTGTGTTTTTATGTGTACAAATGCCTATGTCATGTAACAGGTCCCTATACACTGGGTTCCTGCACCCGGCAGCTTTTATTATAAAGTATCTCCCCATTACCCTCCCCTGGAACGTCAGTTTGAAAGACTGTCACCCTCCTGGTAACACTGGGCCAGGCTGTACAACTCCTGCAGCAGCTCCTCCATGTCATCCTGCTCCACCCCAGCATCCATGAAGCTAGCCCAGCGCCGTAGGTCAAGTCTGGCAAGCTCTTCAGCCAAGTCTCCCAGGGTCCGGTGCAAGGATGAAGATGAGCGCAAGGCCCCAAACACTGGGATGCTCTGCACTGCTGCAGAGGGAGAGAAAAGGGATGCTGCGTGGACTGGGGCCTGGCAGATGTGACTGATGTGTGTACTGTCCCTGTGTGCCAGCGCCCCAGAGGTGCTTGCAGTTGAGTAGGGGGACACTCAAGGATGAACTTTCTTTTCTTTAGCACTTGGGATCCAGGAAGAGAAAGAGTAAAACTGCTCTTGTGTAGCCAAAGTGCTAGTTTCCTTCATGTCCTACCTTTGGGGGGACTGTCCATGGCCAGTCCCTTGTGACTGAAGCTCGGGAAAAGCTGTGGGTAAGGAGGAGCCACTCTGCAGGGAGTCAGCAGCAGATGTGATGAGCTGCAGGCAGAGAGGCGATTCAGAAAGCTGGGAGGCAAAGGCTGTGGAAGGCCTGGGGGAAGAGCCATACTGTACTGACCTCAAGACTCTAGGATGCTGCTGCTGTAGATACTCGGCCAAGACTTCTTCTCCAGAGGCACATGCGTGGAGAGTGGAGGGCAGAGCTGTTCCTGGGTTGAGTTTACTGCCCGAACAAAGCCAAACCCACATTTACTCTTTGGCCGTGGGAATGTAAGCGTAGATTCTTACATTCTTGGACCATCAACTGAGGCACTGATGGTGGTAGGAAGAAGGTGTGCTATCAGAAAGCCTAGACATTAGGGAGACAAAGACAAGGCAAGTCTCCCAAGGCCCCTTAGAACCAGTAGTCTTTACCTGGTGTGGCTTGCTTTGTCTATACCCCTAAGCACCACTGACTGGGCGAAGCAACGACGTCCAGCAGAATCCCCACATGCAGACAGTGGAGTCCATGGGGTGGCTCCTCCGAGCTGCATCAGGATGTCTGGAAGGGACTGGCCTGGAACCAGTGGGAAGGGGATGATTGCTTCTGCTGTCACCACCTAAAGAGCAGGAGGGAGCAGGTTATAGAGCCTATTCTCAGCTCTGGCCCAGCCCCTCCAAGTTTCGTACCTTTTTCCCAGAAAAACTTAGCACATCGGCCAAATGAGCCATAGTAACTGTGGAGGACCGCAGGCGGTAGGGAGCACTGACTGTGTCCAGGACTGTAGCCAGGATGGCGCTACAGTGGAAGGGCAGAGTGGCCTGTAAGTGGGACAGGAGGGGAACAATGGGTCTTTTGGGTGTGGAAAACCATGTAGAGGTAGAACAGACATGCATGGAATGAAACGAGGCTGTTTGTTTTGAGGCTGGACGAGCACGAGGCAGTGGGAGGTCAAGGTCAAGCTGGGAAGCCACCCTGGTGTTACAAATGCTTCCCAAGCATGTATTAGGTCCTAGGTTCAACCCTAACAACACACATACATTTACTGTGGGCTTAGGTAAGAAAGAGAAAGGGTAGAGCTACAGGCAAGAGAGGTTGACAAACTGAGCTTTGAGCCTTACATCATAATGTAGGTAAGGGAAGTTGACAGGTGGCTTAGGCCGCAGGCCCAGGCTCCCTCCCAGGGACAAGGGACAGACGAAAGAGCTGTACCCAGTCAGGTGCACCAGACCAAATGCTGTGTTTAGGAGACGATAGATATTTTTCTGGGGCTCCTGGTAATAGAAGTGAGAGTGGCTTGCTTTAGGCGACTAGCGTTCAGTGGGGTCCTCTTTCCCCACCAACTCTGCTCTTTCTCTTCCAGCCTCTACTCACCCCAAGACTGTAGGGGCCCGGGAGCAGGCCCCATGTTAGTACTCCTCGCCCCGAATACTCGTCCTGCAGTAACTCTGCAGCTTTAGCACCCACTCCAGAAAAACCATCGTGTAGATCGCACAGGATCTGGAAGCCCTACGGAGACATGAAGGCCGCAGGAAGTAGACTGTGGGATGAGGACCTTCCTACCCCAGCATCCACCCTGTCACATAGCTACCTGCAAGTAGTCACATTCTTCCACATAGAAATGCAGTCTGTCCTCCAGCTCTTCCAGGTACCGGGGCTCCTTCAGGACACTCTCCCCTTGGCCAAAAGCCTCCAGACGCCCTGTTTCACTGCCAGAAATGACCATGGTAAAAGACCCAGCCCTGTGCTCACCCCTCAGTCTGCTGCTCTGGGGAGATGGGCCCAGCCTTATCCACTGTGTCCATGGGGCCTAAGCTTCGTTTCAGCATTTGGAGTCCTCATACCCATCATGGTTGTACTTCTGAATCACACAGATGCTTCGAGGATGGAGATGGACTCTGAGGAAGTCTGACCAGACTCTGATGCTGTTCTCTGTGGGGATAAATGGTTTTGGATTTGTAGCAGGGTGGAGGGTGGAGGACAGCAGAAAGAACAGGTGGATTGGATCATTCCCCCGAGTTCCTGCTTTCTATGTTCAGTCTCCAGCGTCAAGGGTTAGCTCACCTTTGCCATTCTGGACAGGTTTGGCCCTCCAGACACCATCGCTACTCAGCGCTCCCTGGGAGGGGTCAGAAAACCTGCTTTAATTTCAGGCGGGTCTCCTCCGCCATGGTTTATCTACACCTGTGTGCGTGTATGCATGCCTGCACGAGTTGATGTGCAGCACCACATGAATGAGGCGGCCAGAGCCAGAAGAAGGTGTTAGGTCCCCGGGAACTGGAGTTACAGGTGCCGTGAGTTGCCTGATGTAGGCACTGGGAACTCAACTTAGCATTCTGGAAGAACAGTCAGGACTCTCAGCCCCCAGAGTCCAGGTTCCCCCAGTTCAGAAAGGTGCTTTTTCAAAAAGATTCCTCTAACGCATTCACAGTGGCTAGACTCCCTCTTCTTGGCTTCACAGAGCTACACTTGGTGCTGGTTTAAAGGTTGGGGGCAGAGCCCGGTCACCTCTGCACTCAGAAGGTCCTGGAGGATAGGGTTCTTTGGGTAGGCTTCTTCCTTGTGTGTGGTAAGCTTCCCCTGCCTGAAAAAAGAGTGGATATTAAGAAAAGAGAAAGTCCAGTCCTCCATGCACATACACGGGACGCTCATGGACAGATACACACCACGCTACTGCAGCCTCGAGCTGTCGGTCCTTGTAGAGGCCACCTTCTTCCCGCAGGGAATTCAGACTGCCTGCACAGAAATGAAAGGCACCTTAAAACCTAGGGCGACATCTGATCAACACTAACATCATCACCTGTTAGGCGATGTGTTGTGGTAGTTACTCCGGACCAAGGTGAGGTCTAGGTAGCTCTGAACAGTGTACAACTGTGTCGAACAGTTTGGTCTTGAACTCAGATTCCACCTGCCTGTGCTGGGACTGATAAAAGGCGTGCGCAACCACGCCTTGCGCTTAAACACTTAGAAGGGATGGGGAATCTAGACTTCATCTCTCTGTCAGGATAGCTGTGGTCCGGCGTGACTGTAGCACCCCAACAGCACACCGCCCATCCCAGAGCCAGTCTTGAAGTGAACAGCCCAGCCTTCCAGTGCCCCCGGGGACTTGCGCCCAGTGTGGGGTTTGAAGTGAAGCAGTGCTAGGACCCCACAAGCCAAACGGGGAAACTTGGCTGGGCCCCGCCTTCGCTTCACCTTTTAGATCCATGAGGATGAGTCGTGGCGTATAGGTTTCCTGGCCATGCAGCGTCCGGCCGCTTCGGTACAGGACATCGGGGCACAGCTCTCCAGGCGACTCTTCACCCTCGGTCGTGTGTCCCAGCGCAGCATCCTGCAGGTGCAGAAGACTGAGAGGAGACGGAGAGACAGGCAAGGGCCTGTACCTCCCGCAAGGGGCGCCACCAGGGGCCTGACCTGCTGGTTCCACCAGTGCGCCCCCACGAAGCCCGCGAAATGTCCTAACTGCAGCGTGAGCACCTCGCGGGCCACGCCCGCCATGCCGCCGCAGCTGCTCGGCACTCCCGGCCGTAGCGGGCCGCTGGGCCGGAGGGCGGCTCCTGCGCCCTATTGGCTTGCGAGCACGTGCTTTCCCGTTGGCTACACTATTCGTTAGTCTCCGACGCGGTCACGCCCCACCTCTTCCTCTCCTAAGTTGCCGGAAGCTGCCCCAGCCCGGTGGCGTCACACCGCCTTTCCTCCTGCGCAGAGGTTGCTGTGGCCAAGGTCAAGGGAGGTTCCCTCACCTGCTTCCGTCCCTCTCCACGCGCAGGCCTCTCTCCCCTAGCCACTAAGTCTCGCGAGAACCGACCTGATGGGGAACTCGACGTTCCCCCGGATTCTTCCCCTCGGTTCCTCTTCCCATTCCTGAAGTCCTAATCCGCCTAAACCCGTGGGCTGGCCGTGGAGCATCTATCTGCATCCGTTACGTTATGGAAAAGATTGCAGGCCCTTTCTTCCACGTTTGGGTAGCTCGTTTGCATCTCTGTGCTGTTTTGCTTTTGTTTGTTATTTGAGACGTCTTGTCCTCTGAGTGGAGCGAGACCAGCTCATCCTTGGCGCTGTTAGCGACTTGCGGACTCACTTGGGCTGCATGCGACCGTGTCTAAGGTGCAAAACAAACCCAACTAAACCAAACAAGTCACTATTCCAAATGTCTTGCTCATGTTTCTTTTGTGCTGTTTGGTGTTCATTTATGAACAAAAGTAAATGGGCCCAGCTGGAGGGCTTGCTGGGTAAGAAAGGTGCGTGCTGCTCAGCCTGCAGACCGGAGTTTGAGCCTGAGGACCCACATGGAAGTACAGAACCAAATCTCTGCTTGTGTACATATTCTGGACATAAACCCAGTGTTAGTAAACTATACAGAAAATGTCTCCTTTAAAACGGCATTTACGCAGGGCACGGTGGCGCGCGCCCCTGATCTCAGCACTGGAGGAGGCAGAAGCAGGCGGATCTCAGTTTAAGGCCAGCGTGGTGTACAGGGCTACACAGAGAAACCCTGTCTCAAAATACAAACAAACACATATATATGTTTCTGGGGTTTTTTTTCGAGACGGTTTCTCTGTGTAGCCCTAGAAACCAACATTGGTTTGTTGGGGCGGGAGAGAGGTAAGCACGCTTGCTGCTGTTGCAGAGCACCCAGAGTCGGTTCTCAGTGCTCAGATGGCGTAACTCCAGTGCCAGGGCATTTTTCTGACATCTGTGGTTACTTCATATATGCAGTGCACATACATACTCATACACGTATAATTTAAAAAACCAGACGATTTATGGGCTGGAGAGATGAGTCAGTTAAGGGAAGGTAATATTAACTCTTCAGAGGACTGGAGTTCAGTTCCCAGCACCTATGCCAGGCAGCTCAGAATTCTTGCAACTTTTCTAGCCCCAGGGCAACTGACAACACAGGTCTCTGAGAACACATACTTTACATACATATATACAACAAACACTAACATTGTTGCACAGTATTAAAAAAGTAAAATAAAAAAAAAATTAAGATAAAAAAAAAAGCCTTGCCAGTTTTTTTTTTTCTTTTCTTTTCACTGTGCTGTGTCCCTTTCTGTAGAATTGTGTATTAAAAATCCTTTTTTCCGCCCACTAGTCTCTTGAAAAACAAATTTTTTTTTTCTTAAAATTCCACTATTCTATCAAAGTCCAACCTGGGGAGCCAACCAGTTTATTGAGGAACTGTTTATTTACTAAAGGATGGAGCAAGGATGACCCTAAAACCCCACTCCAGAGCAAAGGCTCGGGAGACTAACATACTCACCCAGGCCCAGAGGCCAAATACAATTAGGGCAGAGTACAAACAGCAGGGAGGAGCTACTCTTCGATGAGGCTCCAAGGATGCCACTACCCATTAAAGGAATATCCATACTCCGGCTAGGAACCTCTTGCCAGCAGGCACAGGGGATTTTATGAGAGGGAACAAGAACAACAAAACCAGAAGAACAAAACAAAAACCACTTGCTGGTTTGGGGCTTGTCAAGGACTCATACTTCCTGAACCTTCTTCCCATTCATGCCAGTTTGCCAAGATGCTTCCAACTGTTAAATCTAGTTCTCAATTAACAAGATCAGTGTGGGGAGCAGGTGAAGTTGTGTGTGAACATGTACTACTGAGGCGAGCACAGCCACTGCAAGGCCTTGCCCTGGTGGGGAGGTGGGCTCTGTGTAGAGGACTGCAGCTTCCTCTCCCAGAGCGACCCTGGCCCGAGACTTGACTGGCCTCCCCCGCCCCGCAGCGCTGTCAGAGCTCCCCGACACGTCTCAGCTTTTCTGTATGTTTCCTTACTCCTGGTGCCCCGTCAGACCCATCTGTAAGTAGTGCAGGTCAACGTTCAGACCCGGTCATCGCACAAATTAGCCATTTTGACGCCTACTTGTTAGCCTGGTTAGGGCATTGGCATACCCTTTCTGCAAAGTGAGTAACTTTGCTGTTTTGCTTTGCTTATGTGCTCCTTTAGGCAACACTGAGGATATTCTTTGTTTCTGACACTAGGGAAACACTATCGCTGAACCACAGCTGATCTTACAATACAGCACTAATTTGTTACATGGACTTCTGATCCCAATTTCAGTCTTGAAATGTCATATTTTCAGAAGTATCTTGGGATGAACAGATGGCTGAGCAAGTGCTGGATCAGCTCTTCAGCTCTTGCCAGTCTGCCTGCAGCTCCCAATGGCCTGAACTGCAGCTTCGGGAGACCCAGTGGCCCTGACCATCACAGGCACCTGTACTCACACCCACACACATAAATAAAAATAATAAAAATAAACCTTGAAAATGTGTTCTAGATCCTGGTCTTCACAGTACCCAATGAGCAATGGGTAGGGGAAGCGAGTGTAAGGGCAACAGGACAGAGTGCAGCAGCTGGAAGCTTCCGTGGACTCCAAGCTGCCCAACCAAATGATTACCCTTGCTCTAACAGACATGTTCAAGATGAATGGTCCATTTACTGGACTGGACTTCCTTGAAAGAGCTCCATGGTCTGTGCTTCTCCCAGAGGTCTTGCTGGTCAGTGGCTCATGCTTCGGAAGAGGACCATGTTGATGACTGTGGGCTTTACTGCCACTAGAGACCAGGTTGGAGGTCCTTGGCGCATGCTGATGGCAGAGAACAAATGGATGTTTGTGGTCTGTGCTGTTGCCTGAAACCTTGTGTAAGCCTAAGATCCCACTGACTGTGAAGGGCAAGGAAGCTGTTCTTGAAGTGGTACTGACGATGTCAGACACACAGTAAAGAAAGGAATTAAAAGGGCTTCTGTGATAAGCCCTACCTCCAACCAAACCACACCAATTAAAAAAAAAAAAAAAAAAAAAGACATCCTCGAAAGGAAGCCATCAGTGAGAACTGAAAAACAAGAACAAAACAACCCAAAACGCAAAAAATTTTCAATGAGGACACAGGTGTAGGCCTCCATATTGGACAGTGCAGGTGGAGGAGACTCAGCTTCCCTTGGGGGTGGACACTAGACAGCAGACCATGCAGCAGGGCATATATATGAACAACACAAAATAGCCTTTTTTTCTTTTCCTGTTTGGGGTGGGGTGGGGGAGAGGGCAAACATGGGAGGACCAGGAGGGGGGATTAATCAGGGTGCATGATGCAAAATTTCAAATAATTTTAAAATATTTGAAATAAATGAAAATATTATGTTAATTAGCAGGGACCCATGGTGGTACATGCCTTTAATCCCAATGCTTGGGAGGCAAAGGCAGATGGAACTGAGAATTTGAGGCTAGCCTGGTCTACAGAGCAAGTTCCAGGACAGCCAAGGCTATACAGAGAAACCCTGCCTCAAACAAACAAACAAACAAACAAACAAAACAACAAAAATGTTTAAATACAAAACCAAACCAAACCCAGCCTTGCCTGTAAGGTACCTGTGGGAGGCCATATGATGCCCAGAGTTACTATAAAAAAATGTCCGTCACTTTCAGGGCTGTGCCAGCCTTCCTCAAAAAGTCTGGGAAGCTCAAAGTCCTTGAAAGGGTGGACAGTCAGTCTGGCTAAGTAGTAAGAACTGGCTTTGCTCTAAACTTCCAGAACAGAGATGGTGTTGGTTCTATGACCAAGATCTATGGAGAATGGCAGAAAGACAGCAACAGATGCAGCCACAGAAGACAGAACTAGCAATTTCTGTAAAATTGAGTTTCTTCAGATTCTAATAAACAGAATGACAGAGAAATTCAATTTGGGCAAAATGCAAGCTTTTCTTATTGCAAATCTAACACAACACTCAGAAACAGACCTATATTTAATGTGAAAGCCATAACAAAAAACTGGTATTAGTTGCAAGAACAATGGGACATCCCATTGTCCTATGTTCATCATTGCAGGTCAGGCTGTTCCACTTGTCTTCCAGACATGATGCACTGTGTCCGAGCTTACAGTGAGGCGCAGAGCCGCTCCAGCTGCCCAGGGTTGCTGTTACTCAGGAACTTCAGCTCTTTCCTCCCTTCTTCTGTAGAAGCTAAAATGGAGCAAACACACGAGTGGCAGTTTCTTCCTGCTACAAACTGCAGTCAGAGGCATCCGCCTTCAGATCATGACCCCTTGCCTGGGATTTTACCCCTCCAACACACTGCTGCTGCTCAAACCCAAGACTCGGCACACGCCAGTCAGGGACTTTCCAACCAATTATTATTTGTGCCAAAGTCTCATGTGGCCCAGAGTGAACTAGGACCACAACCAGTGATGATTCAGTGATAGAGCACTTTACTTTGTGAACATTCTTTAGCATGCTCAGGGGATAGGTAGAATGCTTTCAACACAAGCCATCAAATCTGACATTAAGAGTTAGGAGCTTCTCAAAGTATGTGCCAGCTGTCACCTGAGGGGACGCAGGCAGTGGACCCTGAGTGTGAGGTAAGAAGGGGTACACAGTGAGATAGTGCCTCAAAAACAAAAGGAAAAGAAAAGAGTTACTAATTTCGGAGCCTGAGGGCAGGGACAGCAAAGATGTGGACTCTTCTGAGAGTCTCAGCGGCGGTCACTAGCAGCACACCGAGTGCCTCATCAGTGAGAATGGCAGCAGCCCAGACATGTGCAAACTGCCCAGTCATAGACTTAAAATTGCTTCCTTCTTTAACACAAATACTTTGTTCTGGACAAGGTGAGAAGCTAAGCAGAAATGTAATTTCTTTTGTAAATTACACTGTAGCCATTTTCTAATCACATTTTTAAATTCCTTTATTATATAGAAAAAAGTCTAAGGGAAAAAGATGAAATTCCAATTCCAGTTCCAATCACAGGTTGCTGCTGAGGGCAGAGAGCGTGTGCTACGCGTGAGTGGGGAATGTGTGCCACTCACACTCGGACTGACTGCCTGGGTCTACAGCTGGTGGTGCTATTTTGGGAGGCTCTGAGAATGTGTAGGCTTTGGGGCTCAGCAGAAGGGAACGGGTCTCTATGGGAGTGTCCTTAGGAGCTATACCTTCTCCAGGTTACTCTCTGTGCCTGGTGTCAAGATGTACCACCTTTTTACATGTCCTGGAGCATGGAGCCAAGTGGCCAGGACTAACCCTTTTGTGTCTGTGGGCTCATGTATGCTTTGGGTACCACACCATGGTGATGCAAAGTACCCTGTGCCCTGACTCAGCAGCCTGGCGGGCAGGATGATGACACATGATAGGACTGACCTTTCTCATGCTGAAGCCAATTGTTCTCTAAATAATACTGAAAAGAACTTTCAAATTCTTTTGGATTGTAGTTGGAAATGAGGATGGGAAGAAATGGCTCTAGGGCATCAAATCCTTCCTGGAAACAAGGATAAAAGACACACTGTTAGTTGAGAAACCAAATGCACTGTGGGACAGGGTCTTTTTCCTTGGTGGTACTCTCCAACAACCTCACTCCACCCCAACGCTCAGCTCCCTGCCTCACACAGAGCTGTACACACGTGGCTAGTGACTGCTTACATTGCCACAAACATTACATTTAAAAAGATAATGAGGTCAGGGGTCTGAGCACTGCCACAGGAGACCGTAAATTCATAACCACACTGGGATATATGAGTCCGTGATGCAGAACAAAAACAAACCAACTAAAAGCATAAAAATAACAAGAAAGAAAGAAAGAAAGAAAGAAAGAAAGAAAGAAAGAAAGAAAGAAAGAAAAAAAAAAACCAGTAAAAGCGTTCCACTTACTGAGAATCTACGAGCCGGCTGGGTGTGGTGGCACACACTAATCCCAGAGGTCAGGAGGCAGAGGCGAGGGATCTTTGTGAGTCTGAGGTCTGGCTGATCTACACAGACAGTTCCAAGCCGGCAAAAGCCACATAGTGAGACCGGGTCTCTCAGAATTTACAAATTCATACTGTAAATGGGGGTGCAGCTCCGAGGTGTAGGGCTGGACTAGCATGCACGGGATGGGGGTTTAGTTCCCCATATCACAAAAGCAGTAATAATAATAATTCCCCAAACAAATCCACACTGTAGCAAAGAAGCAATTCTATCAGGGGAAGACATATGTTTCTAATTCCGGTTACTATGAACACACTTTGAAGAAAAGGGGGGGGGGGGGGGGAACGACACAACAAATATGAAAGTTGACATTTCTAGAAATAAAGTAATAAGAATATGAATTTTCTGTGACATTATGACAAAATAATTTAAAAAGAAACATGGGGGCAAAAAAAAAAAAAAAAAAAAAAGATGGAGAGATGGCTCAGAGGCTCGTCCAAAGGTTCTGAGTTCAATTCCCAGCAACCACACGGTGGCTCACAACCATCTATAGTGAGATCTGGCGCCCTCCTCTGGTGTGCAGGCATGCAGGCATGCATACAGGCAGACAGACACTGTATAAATAGTAAATAAATGAATCTTAGAAAAAAAATGGGGCAGGCTGGAGAGCTGGCTCAGTCATTAAGAGTTCTTGTTATTGGAGAATACTCATATTTGAATACCAAAATCCACATGGGAGCTCACAACCATTTGTAATTCCAGTTCCAGGGGAATCCAACAGACATATGCATGTATTCACACAAAACATTCACAGGCATGAAGTAAAATAAAATAAATCTAAAGAAGAAAACAATTAAGAGATATAAGGCTGGTGAGATGCCTCTGATGTCCAGGGTTCAAGTCCCAGAACCCACACTGTAGAAGGAGGATCACTTCCTGCAGGTTGTCCTCTGACCTTTACACATGTGCTGTAGCATGTGAATCCTCTCAAAGAATATTAAAAAGAAAGACACAGTCTGTAAGAGCAGTGGTTCTCAACAATCGTGATGCCGGGACTCTTTAATACAGTTCCTCAGGTTGCAGTGACCCAACCATAAAATTATTTTTGCTGTTACTTCGCAGCGCTAGCCCTGCTGCTGTTATGAACCAGACTGTAGATATGGGCCACCTAGGGTATTGGCCGTGGGACTCCGAAGGGAGCTGGCCCCAGGTTGGGAACTTCTGTCCCAGATGCGACGGCTACCCGAGGGGGACAGGTTTCTTCAGAAAGGGTCCTACCTTTCCTAGGAGCTCCTGTGGCAAATAGGCACTTCGGGACTTAAAGAGAGACCCGGTTTGGCTCAAACTCAACACAATTGCACCTCCACGCTGAAAAAAAGAAAAGTAGTGGAATTTTAAAAAGATGGAAATGACAGACATGGACAATCGTAGTCAGACTATTTCATGATCGTGTCATGACAGTGTGGTTTAGCATAATTAACTGGCGACAAATTGGTTACTGGCTCTAGATCTGGCTGTGACATTAAATTACACAAGACCTTAAGTTTATCACAATGTGCTTTTTATTTTCAATTTTGCCTGCAATGCCTGCACTTCAGGCACTTAATGAACGAAGTAGAGGAATTGAGCTGGGGCCAGGTGAGCTCTGAGCTACAAAATGAGCTCCTAGCTTGCCGCCTGCTGTGCTTGCTGCACGCCTTAAATCCAGGGAGCCAGATCTGTGGGTTCCCAGGGCTACACAGTAACACTCTCCTTCAAAAGAAACTGAGAGCCTTGCAAAGACACACAGAGAGAAAGACAGATAACAGTGAGAAGGCTGTCAGTAGAGGAACTTTCTACCAGACACTGTACAACTGGAGACAACGGGTGAGAGACAAAGGCAGGAAAGAAGGGTCACACTTCCCCTGCACCCCAGGGGCGCCACACTTACCCAGTCATTTTTCACCATCTTCCTCAGGCTGTGAACAAGGGCTAGCTCTTCTGGGGCAATCTACACGTTGCCAACAAGAAAGTGAGGAGGTTACGACCTGACTCTTCCGGCTATTCCCAAAAAACTGAACTGACAATCACATTTTCTAAAAAAAAAAAGGGTTTTTAACTCTACATACTTTCTCTGGAATGAGAAGGGGGAAGAAGGAGGAAGAGGGGCATGAAGGAAGGAAGAAGGAGCTTAACTATACCAAGTGTACCTTCCTCCCTGGATATTCTGAGCTTTTTAAACAGTAGTTGGAACCAATGAAGAGGGCCAAGATCCTGCAGCTTCCACTGCCCTGCTCTCTCCAACATGCTCCCCTGGTACGCAATGCACGATGGAGCATGTGGAATCATGTGTTGGGTAGCGTTTGAGAAATGGGGCAGGGCCTCGAGAGCTGGCTCAGTCATTAAGAGTTCTTGTTATTGGAGAACACTCATGTTTGAATCCCAAAATCCACATGGGAGCTCACAACCGTTTGTAATTCCAGTTCCAGGGGAATCCAACAGACATATGCATGTATTCACACAAAACATTCACAGGCATAAAGCCAGGGGTATCTGGGAAAAGTGAACTTTCCCAGTGGGGAAAAGCTGCTACCAGCGTGGGTCATAGGCAAGCCTGTGGGAATTTCCTTCATTAGTGCTTGATGGGGCTGGAGTGGAGCAGCCTACAAGGATAGGTGGTGCCATCCACGGACAGGCGGTCCTGGGGTGTATAAGAAACAAACTGAAAAAGCAAAGAGGTGCAAGCCATTCCTCCACAACCCTGCTTCAGTTCCTGTCTCCAAGTTCCTGCCTCACGTGTTTACCCCAACACTTCCTTCACAGGCGGCTTTGGGTCATGGTGTTAACCACAGCAGTAGAAAGTCAGCTAGGATGTATCACTTTGTTTTTTTGAAGCTAATTCACTGTGTATTTCTTTCCCTGCTTTTGCAGTGCTGGAGATGGAGCGTGGGGTCTTACACACACAGGCACTCATGTGCTACAGCTCCACGGCCGGTGTGTCAGCATTCACTGTCCTTTTGCTGCTGTTTTTAAAGATTTACTTATTTTATATGTATGTGTAGTAGAGCCCCTGGAACTAGAGTTGCAGATGGTTGTGAGCTGCCCTCTGTGTGGTAGGAACAAAACCTGGGTCCTCAACAAGAGGAGCCAGCCAACCACTCAGCTACTGCTCTAGCTCCACACAGGATTCAAGATTCCAGGGGGAAATATCCTCTGTGGCCCACATAGGAAAGCATCATCCCTTGTCCCTGACAGAGTTAGAGAACACAAAGTATTCCTACCATGGTTCTATCTTCTTTTTTCAGTGTGGTCCTTCCCCAGAGGGCATTGACTCCATCCACTGCCACCAGGAGGTGAAAGAGCCCTAAGGAACTCTGCGTCTTTAGCTCCTTCAGCACAACCCCAACGGCATCTGTGGCGTTCCTCACTCGTGTAATGCCCTGTGGGGAGAGGCAGGGATGATACCTCTGCTTTCTCTGCCTAGGACATGGTGCAGATGCTGTTTGTCATACCTGTTCAACAACTTCTCCCAGAGGACTGCCTTTCTCAGTGCTTTCTCGCTTATTCCACACATACTTCCCTTGAACTTTTATCTAAAAGCAAGCAAACAAAGTAAGAAAATACAACAGGCTGCTTGTTTACACTGAAGCCTTTCCAAACCAGGAAGGCGCCCGCAGGAGTCAGCTGAACCATTAGGTGGTGCATTGTACAAATAAATAAAAGACTTCTAACCTCTTCCTGGAGCTTTTAGTTGGGGAAGGGGAGGCATTGAGACACTTTAGTTCAGGATGGCCTACAACTCAAGACAATTACCCTGCCTCAGCCTTCCAAATGCTTGGATTGAACATGTAAACTATCATGCCTGGCACTCTGGCTAAAAGGGTTCAGAACAGGACGTTGGCCTTGTCCCTCCCACCCCACAGTACTCATTATCAAATCCTGAACCTCAAGCATACTCGGTAAGTGCTTTCCCACTGAGCTACACCCAAGCCTTGGCACTCACATTTTCCAAACTATATTTATTTCTTTATTTGTATATGTGTGAGGGTGAGCCACAAGGCAGGTGTGGAGGTCACATGGTCCCTGGTTTGTAAATCCTCTACTGCGCCATTGTGCCAGCAAGACCACTCTTCTGCTCTTCCGTGAGTCTTTCTACTGATGGGGTAAAGCCTTAGTTTAGAGCTCACTGCGAGACAACACAGTGCTGGTGTGGCATCCTTCTGCTTGAGGCAGAAGGACTGTAAGAACAGGGCAGTCTGGAGTGCATAGTCGGCTCACACCAGACCCAACTACACGGCAAACAAAGCAAAACAAAATAAAACTGGAATGAGTAATTTTACTCTCACGGTTTATCTCAGAGACAGTAAAAATGAATTTAGACTTATTTTACCATCCACTAAATGAACGGCTTGTTGTAGACTGCCTCACTGATAACAACAAATGAATTTTAAGTTGTGATCCCACTGTGGACCAAAAATGTTACTGGGATACAAAATGGCTCATTTACTACTGATTACAATGTCAATTCTCTACAGTGTACCAACTAATCAAGATACAAAGAAGACAAAAATCTTCTCCAGTGCAAAGGTTATTCAGCAATGAGTTCCCGAAGCACAATCACCTGGCTCAGGAAGCGCTCATTCGTAGTTCTGAAATTCCTCAGCCAGGTAGAGGCCTCTAGGGGTTGATCAAAGCGCTGTTTGTTGTAAGTGGACTGCAGAAGCTCCCGGCAGTTTTTCACCCAAAGATGAGCTAAATGCAAAGGAAAACAGATTAGGAACTAACTACAGTAATTTGAAGTACTGTATGCTTTTTTGTAAAGAATCTGATTTGATCTTGTATTATGGGTGTTTTGACTGCAGGGGTCAGAAGTGTTGGGTTCCCTTGTAGTGCAGTTACAGATTCTGTGAGCTGCTGGGTCCCTGCTGCCAACTGCACCTGGATTCTCTGAAACAGCAGCCAGTGCTCTTAACTGCAGAGTCAGCTCTCCAGCCCCATGGATGACTTTGTAAATTATGAGAAACATTAAAAAATATATGAACATAGTTTCTAGTGTGTGGTGGTACTGATCCTCTATGTCCTTGCTCTTACACTCAACGTTACATTGTAATCAGTACATAGAGACATCAAGTGGACTCTCATTTCTGCTTACTGACAATTTTTAAAGGCAAGTTAGAAAATGTGGATATATAAACTTTGAACAAAAGAGGATATATGCAAAGTATGAGGTCTCAAATCTATACTGAACAACTCTAAATAGCCAAGGAGTGCTAAGGCTCTGTGGATACTCATAGTAATTGACAGAAAAACGGAAGCAAAAGCGGTTTGTGTCTGTGGTGGAACCTTGGGAGGCAGAGGTGGGAGTGGGGAGGGGTTGTTTCAGCTCAAGAATTCAGAGTCAGCATGGAGCTGGGCGTGGTGGCACAAGCCTTTAAACCCAGCACTCAGGGAGATAGAGGCAGATGGATCTCTGTGAGTTTGAGGACAGCCTGGTCTACAAAGTGAGTTCAGGACTGCCAAGGGTACACAGAGAAAAACCCTGTCTTGAAAACAAACAAACAAACAAACAACAACAACAAAACAAAAACCCAAAACAGAACAAGAGTCAGCATGGACAGTACAGCATGACCACTGTCTCTTGAGCAGTTAAGAGGATTCACAAACAAGACAGACAGGATGTCCTTACCATCTGGGATATGCAGAATCAGCCAGTCATGTTTTGCACAGAAATGAATAGCATGGCAAAGACTGAGGGTTTTTCCTGTTCCCTTTTCCCCATCTAAAGTCTATGTTAAAGAAAATATCATAAGCAACACATTTCCCATCAACAGCCTTTCTCAGTACAAGTCTTCAATCCCAGCACTTAGGGGAGAGGGAGAGGCAGAGGCAGAGGCAGGGGCAGGGGCAGGGACAGGCATGTCTTGAAGTTGAGACCACCTGGGGTTACATAACAGGACCTTGTCTAAAAAACAACCCCCCAATACAGCAAAACAAACAGCATTTCCTTTCCTCAAATGAGGAAAAACACGTAGGCTTAAGGGGACCCAGGCATGTCAGAAAGGATACAGAGAAGATATCGCACAGCTGGATGAGTAAAATTGGTATTTTTCAGGTAGTTCAGAAGCTCGACAGCTGGCTTCCTTACCATCAGACAAGCTTCTCCAAAAGTCTTCACCTGAACAAACAGGAAGAGGAAAGTAGGTGGGCATGGAGATTCTAGCCATTCTGGACCATGTTGTACACTAAGCCTGACGCAGCAAACAACTCCAAACTCATCTGTACTCAGATATGAGAGGTTGCCACTGAATCCATGTATTTTAGCTAAGATTTGAGGTATTGTTTCATATCAAGTAACATAGCTAGCTAGATTTTGATGCTTCTTTATATTTAATTTTATGATGATAGGGATGAGCTCAAGAGCTTTGTGCACAGCAGGCAAACAGATGCAATCACTCTACTAGTGAGCTAGACCCTCAGCCTCAGCACTGTTGCTTCTATGAAAAGACCTCTCCCTTCTCAAACAGAACTGGTGGAACAGAACCTGACAAGCCCAACTGGGCAGTACATATGAAACAAAAATAAAAGGAGCGAAACTATCTTACTAGGCAACATGACAGATACAAAATAAGGAACAGTGAGAGAAACCTCAGTGTAAATGGGATTATGGAAAAGAATTGGATGAATGGTTTGGCTTGGGTATAAACTGTCTCCCCAAAACTCATGTATCTGAAGACAGTGCCAGCTCATCATTCAGAGGTGGGACTTTAGAAGCAATAGGTCACAAGGGCTCTGACAGCTATGGTTTTGCCAGGCTGCAAGTCACTCAAGTTGGCTAAATATGGTCCCTCAAAATCTGGAAGGTAAAGACTGAACTTTGAACATATTACAGCAGTGTAAAGGCTATTTCAGGGAATTTCTTTGGTTGGGTCCTACCTCTAATACTAAGAAATATTTTGATGACAACAGTAGTATAATCTAGAATTTACTTCCTTTCTAATATTAGTCCCTCATTAGTCAGCCAACTTACTTGCTCCTAAGCTTGATGCCCTCAGTATGACAGAATGACAAGGTAGGAGAGAAATAACAGCCCCAAGTTGCCCTCTGTCATCCACACGTGAGGTGTGTGAAGTGCCCCTTATCTCCCTGACAATAAAATAAATGCATTTTTAAAAAGTATATCATTTCTAGGGCCAGGTTTGGTGGTATATACCTATAATACCAGCACTAAGGAGGCTGAAGCAGGAGGACTGATAATTGATAACACAGCAGCTAATGACAGCAACCACAAAACCTTCAACAAAACCAACTAGCCAAACAAAAACAAAACTCAACCCCCCCAAAACAAATCCCTTCACAAACCCCCAAACAAAAACAAGAGCAACAACACAAAGAAAAGCAGGTGACTGAGGCTACAGGTGGTAAACAGCTCTCCGTATACACATGTGAACAAGAGGTAAGCAAAAACACCCACAAAGAAATACCCGGGCATGGGAGTGTGCTTGTAGCCCCAGGACCAGGGTAGTAGTGAGGTAGATGCCTGGGGCTCTATCACCAGCTCATGGCCTAACAGGAAGGCCCAGGCCCCAGACAAAAAACCTTGTTTAAAAAAAAAAAAATTACGTGAGCAGGGGCTGGAGAGATGTTCTGGCTATTCTTCCAAAGGTACTAGGCTTGATTCCCAGCACACAAATGGCTGCTCACAACTGTCTGTAACTCCAGTTCCAGGCCAGGGGATCTGGCAACCATTCCTTGCTTCTTCTGTCACTGAATGCATGTGATGTACAAATAAACACGCAGGCAAAACATCCATACATAATTTAAAAATAAAGCCAATAAAACAACATGGACATCTCCTGGCAAAGGAGACTTCTGGTTTCTATACTCCTCTACATACTGCATACATACACACACACACACACACACACACACACACACACACACACACACACAGTTTGGAAAAAGCATTCCAATTTAGCTTAGAAAATATTTTAAACAAATAGAACACGTGCTCTCATGCATACAAAGATGACTTTGAAGATCTTCCTGCTTCTACTCCCAGAGTCCTGGGCTGTTGGTGTGTGTCACCACAGATCCTACATACTGTTGCAGGATATTTGATCACACTATGAAGCCCAAGATTGTGTTGTTTACTGGAAAAACCTGTTTCTAGTTGTGATGTCTCTCAGCCCTAGCATACACCTTTAACCCAAGAGCTTTCTGCTTGAATACTTAATATTAATACTTAATACTTATTATACTTATTGAATACTTAATACTTATAATAATAATTAATACTTAAATATTCTACTTGAATATTTAAGCAAGATTAAATAAAGTCAATCATAGGTCAAGAGGCAGAGCAAACAATCAGTTGACAGGGAGTGAACATTAAAAAAATAGATAGATAGATAGATAGATAGATAGATAGATAGATAGATAGATAGATAGTTAAAGGAAGTCAGGAGGACAGATAGAGAGATGCCCAGGCAATAAAAGGGAGAGACATTTAGTTTGAGGATTTTCTGAGACAGTGTGGATAAAGAGGAATGATTCCTTTTTGGGAGAGGGGGGCAATAAGGTGAGGAAGGTCAGTTGGGTGTTCTCTGTGCCTCTCTGAGCTAGCACACTTTCGACAGCATCTGGCTTTCAAGTCTTCACTGGCCAAAATGAATGACTCAAATTTTGTTAAAAAACATTTGGTGCTCCAACACATGTAATGACCACATGGACACAGAAATCACTGTAGCTTCGGACAAAATGAGAAGCCATCACAGTTAGTAAGTCACCTGGGAAATCCTCAAGGAGAGAGTTAAGGATGGAAAATAGCATAATACAAGGCATTAGGACCTTACTTAAGTACTACTTTAGAGGCTTGAAAATAGAAGGAGAGCCCTGCATGGTGATGCATGCCTGTAAACCCAGCACTCAGGAGGCAGAGGCAGGAGGACCTCTGTGAGTTTGAGGCCAGCCTGGTCTAGAAAGTGAGTCCAAGGCTATACAGAGACACCCTGTCTCAAAAAAAAACCCAAAAACCAAACCAAATCAAACCCCCCCCAAAAAAAACAAACACCAAATAAAAAAGCAAAAACCCAAAAACTCAAACAAACAAACAAGCAAACAAAAAAAGAAAATAGAAGCAGAAAATGAAAAGCAAAATGACTTAACAGAAATTGGTTCAATACTGATTATGGTTATTATCATTTTTGTATTTCATATTTTATCCATCAAAGCCATAGTGGCTTTCTGTACCCTCTCAAAAAAGCTTTAGAAATACAGGAAAAAGGTAAACAAACAAACAACAAACAGACAAACAAAAAAAGAAAGTGGATTAATAAAATAGATGCCTTAGAAGAAAAATTGAAGAGACTTATACATAAAAATGAGAAAAATACTCAGACACAGACAGGAATTTAGACAAGTACCTCCTGCAGCACTGCATGCTGAAACTGAAGGGGAGCAGCCCAAGGTTGTTATAAAACCAATCTTTGTTTATCTGTACAAGACCTACCAGGAGACAGCAGTTACCCCTGAAGTTACGATGTTAAAAATGGAACCCTGTAGACATATTAGATTTGAGGAAATCAAGGAAATGGTTTTTGTTTCATATGGTATGCATTCACCCTATATAAAGCAGCTGTTAATTCTTGGGAGGCTCAGAAAAGAATTATCTCCCAAGACTGGAAAGATTTGGCAACAGCAATATAGGAAGCTGGTCCTCAGTTACAATGGTGAACATGGTGGAAAAAGGAAGCTAGGGACATAGAACAAAAAATAGGGCCAGTGGTATTAATATTTCCCAGGATCAGTTGCTAGGTGATGGTCAATATGCTGAGCTTTATTAGTTAGTTTGAATTTCATAATCACACCTTGGTGCTATGTATATCAGCAGGTTTAAATGCTTATGATAGGGCTGAAGAATCAGGAAAAAGGACTGAGTCATTTACTAAAATTATAAAGGCCCAAAAGAAACCTTCACTGATTTTTTTTTCAAAGATTAATTTCAGCTGTAAATAGAATAGTATCAGATTCAGAAGTCAGACAAATTTTAATTGTATTTTTGACTTTTGAAAATGCTACTTCAGAATACAAAATGGTAATTAGGCCTTTAAAGGCAAGATCAGCACCAATAGAGTAATGGATTAGAAGTAAAGCTGATATTGGATGTCATGTTTATGATGCTCCTCTGACAGAAGTAGTTTCTGAAAGTTTTAAGAAAAATCAAAATGTCACGTGCTTTAATTGTGGTATCCCAGGTGATCTGAAGAAGAATTGTAGGAAAGGCATTCCTAGAAATGTTTTTTTTCTAGAGATAATCCAAAAAGAAGGCTCCAGGCTTCTGGAGCATGAAGAAGGTAACAAAGGCTGACATTAGTCTAATGATTGCAACCAACGACAGACAGGCAGGGTAATCCTCTGAAATCAGGAAAGGACACAGGGGTCCTCCTGCAGGCCCCAATATCAAATTCAATTTAATCATTCCCTGTCAGCACCAGAGAAACTCGTCTACAGAGCAATTAATGCCTGTTGTTAAAAACAACACTGCTCTGGATGTAATCAAGGACAGGACTGCTTCAGTAGATAGATAAAACAAAAAACTAAGGAAAGACCAGAAAACAAGTATTTTGGCAAAATGCCACAAGTGATCAGAGCCCAAAGTTAAAAATACAAATGGCATTGAAATTGATGTTTTAGTAGACACAGGAACAGATGTAGCTATAATTTCACCAAAATCTTGGGATCCAACTTGTCTCCTTGAGGAGATAAAAATTCATCTTCAGGTAAAACAAAGTGCAAGATGGGTTGAATGCATAGGGTCAGAGGGATAAATAGAAAAATTAAAGCCATTTAGCCATGAATTTATGGCGACATGATTTTTTTTGTAGCAACTGGAAAACACAGATTAACATTCTCCAATCTCAGAAACAAATCATAAAATAAAGACTGCTTCTGAGAAAAATATTAAAAGATATTATCACAAACAGTCAAAGACTCTCTAGGTTGTCTATAAGCAGGACATGACAGCTGTTAGTCTTTCAAAAGTACCAACTGCCTTTCTTTAAAATGGCTAACAGATCAATGGTCTGTGACAAAAGAAAAATTACAGGTACTAGAAGAGCTGGTACAGGAACAGCTAAGTGCTCAAGACATTGAAGAATCTACCAGCCCACGGAATTCCCCTGTAATATAAAAAATAAATCAGAAAAATGGAGGATGCTAACAGATTTAAGAGCCATAAATGACTAAGCCAATGGGCTCTTTACAGCTTGGAATTCTCTTGCCCTTTATTTCCTAAGTCATGGCCTTTGATAGTAATTGATTTGAAAGATTATTTTTTCACATAAATAATTTGCATGAGCATGATAGGGAAAGGTTTGCTTTCTCAGTGCCAACTTATAATAGTAGTTGTACAGTAAAGAGATATGTACATATTAAAACTGACAATGTTCCAGCCACAGAGAAACCCTGTCTAGAGAAGCTCAATGCTTGGGAGGCAGATCTCTGTGCGTTCAAGGCCAGCCAGGTCTACAGTCCATGTTCCAGGACAGCTAACACAACAGAGAAATCCTGTTTTGAAAAACTAAAAAAGAAAAAAACCTTACTAACAGAAAGTGATAGTGAAGGCTCTCAGAGATAGGTTACACATTACCTTATTAACTTAAAAATTTTAAATGCTGATAAAGAGAACAGCTGCAGAAAGACAATGGACAGTGGAAAAACCGCTGTACCGAATCAGCCTGTGTATTTTAAAAATGTGTGGACCTCAACATGGATATAACTGGGATATGTGGTGGAGAAGAGGTTTTGCCTCTATTTCCACAGGTGAAGAAAAGCTGTGGATACCATCAAAATTGATAGAGATTAGATTCGAATAGGAGAGACTTCCTGAATAAGGAGCAGTGATAGTTTAGCTTGGACATTCAGTCCAAACTAACTTATTTTAATTTTTATTTTTTTAATATTAATCACAGGTTATTTACTTTGTATCATAGCTATAGCCCCCTCCCTCATTCTCTCCCAGTCCCACCCTCCCTCCTTCATCTCCTACCCGCCTCTTTCCAAGTCCACTGCTAGGGGAGGTCCTCCTCCCCTTCCATCTGACCCTAGCTTATCAGGTATCTTCTGGACTGGCTGCAATGTCCTCTTCTGTGGCCTAGCAAGGTTGTTCCTCCCTTGGGGGCAGGGAGAGGTAAAGGAGCCAGTCCTTGAGTTCATGTCAGAAATAGTTCCTGTTCCCCTTACTAGGATAGCCACTTGGATACTGAGCTACCATGGGCTACATCTGAGCAGGGGTTCTAGGTTATATCCACACATGGTTCCTTGGCTGGAGAAACAGTCTCATAGAGGACCCCCGTGCCCTGATATATTTTGTCCTTGTGGAGCTCCTACCTTCTCCTGGTCATATTAACTCCCCCTTTTATCATATCAATCCCTGCACTCTACTGAAGTAGAGTGGTTATGAGTCTCAGCATCTTCTTTGATACACTGCTAGGTAGAGTCTTTCAGAGGCCCTCCATGGTAGGCTCCTGTTCTGTTTCTGGTTTTCTCCTACTTCCCATGTCCACCTCATTTGTCTTTCTAAGTGAGGATTGATCATCTGACTCCAGGTCCTCTTTCTTGTTTATCTTCTTTAGGTGCACATATTTTAGTATATTTATCCTATCTTATAGGACTATATAAATGAGTATATACTATGTGTGTCTTTCTGCTCCTGGGATACCTCACTCAGGATCTTTTCTAGATCCCACCATTTGCCTACAAATTTCATGATTTCCTTGTTTTTATCAATGAGTAATATTCCATTGTGTAAAAGTACCACAATTTCTGTATCCATTCCTCTGTTGAGGGACATCTGGGTTGTTTCTAGGTTCTGGCTATTACAAATAAAGAAGCTACAAACATGGTTGAGCAAATGTCCTTGTTGTGTACTTGAGCCTCTTTTGGATATATGCCTAGGAGTGGTGTAGCTGGATCTTGAGGAAGCACTATTCCTGATTGTCTGAGAAAGCGCCAGATTGATTTCCACAGTGGTTGTACAAGTTTACGTTCCCACCAGCAGTGGAGGAGGGTTCCCCCTTCTCCACAACCTCTCCAGCATGTGTGGTCACTTGAGCCAAACTAACTTATAAAGACTAACAAATGCCCTTCATTTGATCAGACATGAAATAATAAAAATAAAAATATTTTCAAATGATAATTTGTATAAGGCACACTTGCCTTACTGGCATGAAATGAAAAATGGGTTTTCTTAAATCATGTGTCTTAATTCAATGTTAGAATGTTAGACTGTAAATTGCCATGTTGGCCCCATGCCATCTTGACCATCAGCTTTTGAGTTTTCTTCTTAAATAAAAATGGTATTTTTGTTGTTTGGTATTAAAAACACAATAAAGGGACTTTAAATGTTTTAAGTAAATTCAAAGGGTTACTATGATTCTAAGAATTGGAGTGATTTGGAAGGAAGATAAAATGTTTGAGCAGGGCGGTGGTAGTCTAAGCCTTTAATCCCAGCAGACACAAGTGGGTAAGTTATAAAACAACTATAAATTAGTTGTTTTCTAAATTCTAGAGTTACAATGAACAAGGTATGGTGGTGCATACCTTTAACCTCACCACACAGGGAGAAAACTCTAATAGAGCTCCTAATTGGTAGGTCTGCACACTGGAGAAATCACACACCATATTTCAGATTATTACAAAACCCTTCTACCAGGTTACTGGAAAGGCAGCTAATTTCCCACATGGACAGGAATAAACAGGTTTTGGGACTGCTGGCTCATCTCTGTGCATGCAACCCTGACCAATATTAAACCACATGATAGCCTAATTATAGACATCATATTTATTGGTGAATTGCCAATTGGGAACTCTTCATAAAGCAAAAAGGAGTCCACAAACATTTGCCTGTTGGTTTCTATTGTAAACGCTTTCCATAAACGGAAAATATTCTGAGAAACAAATGTGGGTATTTTATAAGGCATGAAAACCTTATACTCAGTCATTGCCAACTGCCCTCTGGTAAGAAGGGCCAGATAGATCGGATCCTTTTGAAGGCAGAGTCCTTCGCAGGCTTAGCCATGGAAGGATAGGTACAACAGTGGAATTGGTACCTAGCTGAATGTCTCTGTGACCAGGATGTGGTAACAAAGAGGACCTGCACTGAGGAAATAGCTCTGTTGCCTATAATCCCCATCCCTAAATCACACACCCCTCCCCTAAAAGAAGCACTGTGGGGACCAAGAGAATGGTCACAACATTTTGCTAATGTACGGTTTCCTGGATGGTTCATCAACCAGTGATAGAACCAAAACTACCGGAAATCAGCAGCCTATAGACTGGGGATGGAATGGCCAATATTGAGGAAGGAACCATAAACCAGTGGAGCATTACTGGTTATAAACCAAACTAGGAAAGCAAAAGGAAAATCGCTATCTTCTTCAATTCATGGTGTATGTGCAATGTTATAGCTATATGGTCATCAAAATGGAAACCCACTAACAGGAAGAGACATGCAATCATGTCGTCTTTTAGGATGTCTGCTGAGGTGGAAGGTCAGTTGGGTGATTTCTTTGTCTCTCTGAACCAGCAGGCTTTCACCCCAGTGTCTGGCTCCCAAGTCTTCATTGGCAAAATTGAACTATTGCGATTTCGTTAAAATATAACAGGACCTGACACTATAGCCCAGGTTTGCCTGTTACTCACCATGCAGTCCAAACTGGCCCAAACTTGAAGCAATCCTTCCACTGCTGCGTCTTAAGCACTGGGATTACAGGTATGTGTTAACAGACTTACCTTAAATCCACTTAAAATAATTACCTGAATGCGAGTACTTCTAAAAACTTGATCGGTAATTTAAGGAAAAAGATACTGTGTATAAAAGAACACTTAACTGGGGTAAGTGGCTAAAAAAGGACACACATTAGTAACTGTGTGTTTATGAGTCTATAGCTGATTTCTGTTTTTCAGAATGTCAAGGCTTCTGTTTCCCACTTAAGCGTTTCCCTGCCACCTGCACATTGTACATTGGGTTCTGTTTGAGCACCTGCATCATGTATCGAGGAGGCAGGCCATGAGGAAATATTGTCTTCAGATCTTGAAGGGGGATGCTGTAGTGCTGACCCTCATGCTGTTCCCCATGCTTAGCCTGGAAAAACACAAACAGGAACAAGAGGTCACAAAGGGGTATGAACTTTGAAAAGAAGCTAGGCTAGGTGTGGGTATACACTGTCTATTATCCTTGCACTCAAAGACTGAAGCAGGAGAATTATCTTGACTTATAGGCCAGCGTAGGCTACAAGAGAGCCTGTATCAATCAATCAAAAAACAAATAAAATAAAACTCAAGTTAAGCCTAAAAACCAGCTAACCGCGCCCCCCCGCCCCCACTCCAGATACTGCTTGCCAGGCCACAGTTGCACCTACAGTAACATCTCTGTTGGAGGGTTGGTCTGATGCAAGTTACTGGCCCTCAAGATCTGGTCATACCTATTCTTGTTTGGTAAGCCTAAGACATACCTGATTGGTTGATTAAACATCAACCAATGTTGGTTGATTAGTCAATTAATTTGGTTGATTAAACACCTGGGCAGGGCAGAATGGGGTAGGCATGGCTAAGGTTCCTGGGCCTCAGGGATAGGAGAATCACAGGAGACACACAAGCAGACAGGAAGAGGAGAAAGGAGGACATCATGATGGGTTACACGGAGAAGGAACCATGTGGGACTCTGAGAATGGTATGGATGGATGGATGGGAAGAGAGGAGGAAGGAGGGTGCCACGATGGGTTAGTGTGGAGAAGGAAACACATGGGCTGGGAGAAAGGACTCCAATAATGCCATGAAAAGGCCAAGATGAAGAACATAAGCAAGAGCATAAGCAAGTACCATGGGATTATGGATGGAAGATGGTCCAGATAGAAAGGATTAAGGAGGATGGCACTGGATGGGGGCTGGGAGATGGATGGTGAGGATATTTAGACAATGTAGGTGAAATAGCTGCCTGGTCCAAGGTAAATAAGGCAACTATAAATCTAACAGGTATCCGTGACTTATTTGTGACAGCGGGTTAAAAAATGCCACTGTGATAATCTTAGGGCTAATCATAAGCATTATATAGTCCAACACCCTATATATATATTTTTTTTTTATTTGCTACAATACAGGAATTTTTTTTTTTTTTTTTTTTTGAGACATGGTCTTGCTATGCATCTCAGGCTGGATGGGAACTTCTGCTAGTTTTCCTGCTATAGCTACGAGACTGCTAAGATTACATACATGTCACCAGGCCTGGCTTCTCATTTAAAACACTGGGTATTGGGATAGCAAGATGGGTCATATGAGTAAACATACTTGTTACCAAGCCTGACAACCCAAGATCAAAATAAAGGACTCAATAGCAGGAGACTGATTCCCCAAAGTTGTCCTTTGGCCTCCACATGACACAGGCACAGGTCTACCCCCATAACAAATATATTTAATAAAGTGCTGGTGTCCTCAAATCCAGTGTATGCTGTATAAGGACGGTGGCCTGACTAATAAAAATTAGCTGTTCAGCAATAAACTGTTAATGAGGACAAACATAATTTTTGCCACCTGGATTCTTTTATGCTACAAAGAATGAAGAATGTTCCAGTCATGTGGCAAGATCATCTGCATGATGCTGTTTCCATAGAAACCCTAGAGGACTTGAAAAATAGCACTGAAAGACACTTTATTGACTTCACTGATTCATTCTATTTCATTTTGCATTTGTGAGAATACGTGATTTAAACACATCCCTTATGAAATTATGTTTTGGTAGAGAGCACTTTTTACCTTTTTACACAGCCGTATTAGGATGGGAAGAATAAGATTGAGACAAACAAACAAAAAGTCGGATGGCTTCCTCCACATTAAAGAAAGCACAGACCACACAACTGATTTCAATTATAAGAGACTGTACCAACACTGGGCAAGGAGCAAAAAAGTTAGCACCCAGTCTCTCAGGGTTTAACTTAGAAAGAGGAACACTATTCAGGAGAAGACACCAGAAACGCTGCCTAGAAAGGACTGTGGTGTCTCACTGGTTGGCTATAGGAAACTAAGTGCTGCAATTAAAGGCGTGCCCTACCATTCGTAACAAATCTAGATGGCAGGCAAGGGCTATGCCACAGTGCTTAGCTTTCCCAACACTGGGTACCCTGTTTAAATACAATTCTGCTGGAACATAACCATATACCTGTTTGCTTACAGTAGGGCTGAAGAACCATGAAGGCCTCTTAAACCAGAAATCTAAAATATGTACCCAGTACTTGTTTAAGGAAAGCTTGGCCCTAATTAAAATCAATAATCAGTGCAAAACTTATCTCAAAAGAAACTGAATTTAGCTATTTTGATTGCTTTGAAACAGGGTCTGTCTACATAGCCCTGCTTGCCCTGGACCTCACTGTGTAGGTCAGGCTGGCCGCAAATTTACAGATCCTCTGCCTCTGCTGGTATTATAGCTGTGCCTCATGACACCCAGCTTAGTTTTATCCATTTTTTTAATGCAGCAAGATTCTTGGCACTACGTAAATTCATTTTTAAGATCATATTAGAAAGAATTTGGACTAACTTTGTGCTTTATATCTTGAGCATCAGGAAGATCTATGTTAGAGTGTCACCTAGGTGAACATATGTAAACCAGTTTCCTGACATGTAAAAGGAAGACATGGCAACAGAAGTTATAATTTCTGAAACATCACCCACATCAACAACTTACTGGGTCGCTGTCACTGGTGCGGGAAATAGCTCTGGGATGCTCAGCTGGAACCTGACCGCTCTGAGATGCTTGTGCACTCACGTGTAAAAAACACCTTGGGTCTAGCTACAAAAAACAAACAAACAAGTTTTAGTGTTCTGGAATCATCAGATTTTTAACACTTGTAACACTAAGGATTCAAGCCATGTTTCTATCAGGGAAAGATGACACTAAGATATGTATAAAATGGATCTATATAAAATGGATCCTTAGGAGTAATTCCCTAAATCCTCTGAATCTGTTTTAGCACAAATATTGCTATGCCAGAGCTCTGTCCTAATGGAAACAAACAAGTCTGTCAGATTGTTCAGGAGTTCAGGGTAGCCAATGATAAGCTAACATAATTTTTCTTTTTTCTGAAAAAAAAAAAAAAAAAAAAAAAAAAAAAAGTCTCACTACAGAGCGCAGACTAGCCTCAAGCATTTCAGAGTCTAGTCTCAGGTTCTTAAGTGCTGAGAGTAAATGCTGAACCATCTTTCCCAGCCACTTTTATTTTTATTTTTTGGAGCTTGGGTCTTGCTTAATTTCAGGCTGGCCTTGAACTCTGGGCTCAGTGGTTCCCTCTTTGCACATCCTCAGTAGCTGCAAACACACCACTGTGACTCGTGGCTCTTGTTATCAGAACTTCCTGCAGCATGGGGGCTACAGCCCCCCCTGAGCAGTTAGTGCACTGTGCTTCAGTGTGGGTGCTTATACAATGTTCTCTCTTGCTCACAGTATGTGTCTAGCCCTGAGCTCAGGTCTGGCTGCATCTGCCTCGGAGTACTGGGGTTAAAGGTGATGGTTATAAAATTATACCCTTTACAGTTAGCCCTTCCCCCACTTCCTTTCTTTTGGACAGGGTTTGTGTTTGGCATTAAACTCTAAAGATCTGGTTGCCTCTGCCTCACTAGTGCTAGGATTAAAGGTGTATGCTATGCCTGGCCTGCAATGACAGCCTTGCTAGCTATCACCTGCAAAATAAGAATCTTTCATTAATGACATGTAATGAGGACATTTAAAATAATAATAATTATTATTATATTTTTCGAGACAGGGTTTCTCTGTGTAGCCTTGGCTGTTGTGGACTCACTTTGTAGACTAAGCTGGCCTCAAAGAGATCCACCTGCCTCTGTCTCCCTCAGTGGCAGGATTAAAGGTGTGCACAACCTTGTTCTTGACAGCAAAGTTTTTGAAAATTTAAGACCCAAATGATAAAATGATAAACACATACAGCCAGACAAAGAGCTTGTACTTTCAGCACAGCAACTTTAGTATAGCTGAATACTAGGAAAAAGTGCCTTGTCTCTCTCTTTCTATCTTTGTCTTTGTTGTTTTGTTTTTATTTTAAAAAAATATTTTAAAATTACAAATTAAAGAAAATTATTAAAAAATCTGAAATAAATCCTTTCTGAGACAAATTGGTTTTGGTCAGGGTGTTTGTCACAGGATGAGAAACCCTAACAAAGATAACATACAAGTTTGATCCCAACGTTTCCATTCTTTTCATTACCTTTTGTTTTCATTAAACATTATCTTTATTTTTTAGACAGAGTTTCATTCCTGCTGGCCTGGAACTCACTGTGCAGACCAGGCTAGCCTTGAAATCACAGATGTTTTAAAAATACCTCTGTTTGTGCTTATGTATATAGATATGCACATTGCCATAAATGTGGAATCAAAGGACAACTTAGGGAAGGTCCTCTCTCTATCCATCATGTGGATCCCAGGGATCCAATTCAGATTGTCAAGCTTGGCACCAAATTCTTTAACCCTTTGAGTCACTCTGCCAAGCCCCTTTTCACTTCTTAAACAAACTTTTTTTTCATGTTTATTTATGCTTGGGCGCATACTAGCATGCTTTATGTACACACAGGCCAGAGTGTTGGGCCACTGAGGTAATGACTTTCCCTGAATGAGGGACTGGGGTCATACTTTTCTCTCCTGGTCTGGAAGCTGGCAGTTCCAGTGATTCTCCTCTCCCATAGATGGAATTATGGTCACATGGGAGAGTCCAGCTCATAATAAGGGTGCTGAGATCTGAACTCTGGTCCTTTGCCTGCAAAGCAACTGCTCTTAGGCAGCAAGCGATCTTTGTAGTCCTTCATATTATTACTTTTTGTGTGTGTGTGTGTTTATATGCATTCATGCATGCGCAGAGGCCACAGGTCAACAGTAGTCGCTTTCCACTTTTTATTTACTTTTCTGTAACAGGGTCTCTCACTGATTTGGATATTGTGGCTGGCCAGCAAGCTCCAAGGATCCTCCTACCACCACTTCCCAAGTACACACCAGCTCTGAAACATTACTGGCAGATTTCAATATAAAGTAACAATGCAAGGAAATAGGCTGCTGTAATTTTCAGGATGTACAAGTCAGTTTACAGCAGAGTCAGTTATATCTACCAAACAGTTCAAATATTCCTCTAATCTACAGATAGGCGATTATTCTGGCCAAAGAGCCAGGAGTGGAAATACTTTCAATCATTTAAAATCAAATCCAGCTGAGAGTGGCTATAAGTTCTGTCTTCTCTTGCTATGGCAGCCTATGTTACAGATTAGTAAGAGCCTAATCAAGCACAAGAAAAGGAGGACAAAGAAGAGGAGGAGCTGGAAAGTGGCCCAGCAGTTAAGGCTGCTTTCCCAGAAGATCCAGGTTCAATGCCCAGCACCCACACTACAGCTTACAACTATCTGTAACTCCAGTTCCATGGGATCCGACAGCCTCTTTAGGCCTAGGTGGGTTTAAGGCACATTTGTGTGTGCACAGACACCCACTCAGGAAAACGCCCATGTACACTAAAAACACAAAAAGATAAGGAGGAAAAAAGAAAGCAGCTGCCGCAGCCCCCCGCATTGATCTCCCAAGATAAACCCCCATCCCTATATCCAGGCCCTGTTCTTGCCAGCAAAGCTTTTGAAATTACAGGACCAAAATGGTAAAATGAAAACATATACAAGACAGGCTAAGAGCTGTACTTTCAGGACAGCAACCTGAGGAGTACACTGGACTACTAGGAAAACGTGCCTTGTCTCTCTCTATCTTTGTCCCTGTTGTTCTGTTTTGTTTTTGAGACAAGATGCCACTATATAGCCCTCGCTCTCCCAGCACTTGTATAGATCAGGCTAGCCTTAAATTTTCCATGTCCCTGTCTCAACAATTCAAGTACAGGGAGTACACATATATACCACCAAGTCTAGCCTTCTCTGGGATGTCTCAGGAATAAAGGTGCCTGTTATGCAAAGTTGGTGACCTTCGATTCCCAGAAGCCACATAAAATTGGAAGAACTGATAACCTTGATTTCCACAACTGCATCCCCCATACACACCATACACAGCAATAATAAATAAATTAAAAAAAAAAAAAGAAAGTAGGGGACCCTGTGCACCCACACAGATGGCTTTAGATTGTACTGCTGCCTCAGTCCCCACAGGTGAAGTTTTAAATGTCCTGCAGAACACCTGCTGCAAGAGGCTGGCTTGCAGAGGGGCACAGATCAGCCAGGCCACATGCATGCAGAGAGTTTTGAACTGGGCCAAGACGGCCATCCCACCAGCAAGCACCTGGTCTCCCTAAGCTCCTATGGTCACACACAGCACATGGCTAGCTGCCATGTTGATTTTGGGATAAGGAGGATGGAACCCCGGCTTCACTGACATTTCATTAAGGGCAAGCACATGGTTTCAACACCATCTTAACTTAGGGCAATCAAGGGCAGTCACATGATTGGCAGCCATCTTGGTTATAAAAACAAACAAACAAACAAACAAACAAACAAACACACTGTGGTTTCCCCTCACTGCCAGCTTCTTTTACTACTTTGTTTCTGTCCCACTGTTTTCAGAGCTGCAAAACTGCAGTCTCTTGTAGGCCCTAAAAGGCCACTGTGCCCCCTCCTATCTCCATTCTAAAGCTACCTATCTGCCCCTATCCTTTCTGGAGGATAAGATCCCCTCTATGAGAACTCTGATGATAAAGCCCTGGTCCCAGGCACTGAGATTAAGCCCATGACCTGCTGTGCTATTTGGTTGACGAACCAGTAGCCACAAATCCCTTTCCTTTTTCCCTTTGCCATTAGCAGGAATACCTTCCTCATATTCTCTCCTCTTAGGGAAACCTCTGGCCTCTACACCTATATTTGCTTTTCTTAAATGTCTAATATCTAGTAATATCCAGTAACACTAAAAGTGATGCGTGCAGTAAAAAACAATTCTCTAATTTTCTTTTCTCAAAGTCTTGTCTGTTTCTCTCTGCCTGCTCTCAATAAATATACTTTCTGGTTTCTTTTTATGCTCTCAAAAAAAAAAAAAATCCTAAAATTAAACTGTAAACCTTAAGGTTACCATGCGGTATGAACAGTTTTAATCATAATTAATTCTCTATTTTATCTCCTTTTAGACTAGGACAGCAACAAGTCTCATTTTAAATTGGTATGGATTTTTGTAAAAATTCAAAGTTACATTTTACAATATATAATTCAATTCTGGTTCAAAATAAATTTTATATAAGGTTAAAAATTTAAAGTTATAAAGGTTAATCTAATATAAAATGTATGACTAATTGCTTATATCTTTATCAATTCCTAAATTAATAAATGCTGTTTCTCGTGCCATGAGCTGCCTATGATCCAGAGTCACCACTAGGCTTTCTGGCTAATAGGTTTGCTACAATAAATTCAAATGTAATTTTAAAATTGCTTTATACTGTTCTACTATATTGTTGGTTTTAAAACTCATAATTCAGGGTTACTATGTACAAGCTTTTACCAATACTCTAAATTAAGATCTATTAATTTTAGAGGCATTTATTTATTTATGTTAAAACTTAGTCACTGTGCTATATCTTCACTATCAAAAGGTTAAAATATGTTTGGTTTTGTTTTCTAAAAATGGTATCATTATTAATCTATAGTATAGCCTTAGACTTTTGTTATAAGCTATGAACATTTTATATACTAAATCATACAGAAAACTGTTAGGCTTATTTTAATAGACTGTATTCATGACTTCTAAGGCTCCAACTTAACAGGGACAAAACCTAAAGTCCTAATATTTGATGGTTAACAAATGCAAGTTAATAGTCAGTCATCTCATAGATGATCAAGTCCCTTAAGATGTTCAAATATATATTCATAGTCCTACAGATGCAGGCATGGTCTCACTGCTTACTTAATTAAACAGCTGAGGATGGTCCCTGAGTCACAATACAGGAGTTGTTTTGTAAAAATAGTAAGAGAGGAGTCTTTCTGTTAGGCTCATCTACAGCGAAAACTATGCTCCAGACCTTGGCTGCTGCTCTAAGACTGTTGGCATTCCCACACAGAAAACAAGAGGTCTGCAATGCCCCATCCCACCGGGTATAGACAAAAGTCAATTCTGCCAGGTGACTGTTTCAAATGCAGCCAAAGGGGCTGGTCCCGTAGCTGCCTCAAAAAGCCACATATTGCCTGCTAGCAGACTGACCTCTGGAAGTCAAAACGTTCCCGTGCAGGCTTGTGCTCTGTGCCCAGTCATGGAGGCTCAACCAGCACAAGAGCCACAGACACTTCTACCCTACCAGCTCCTTGGCCTGGCAGAGGACAAATGGCTCCTAGATTTAGCGACCTCCACCATGCTCGCCTAGCACAGAGTAACAATGCAGGTCTGTTTTGGTTTCAAACTCAGGCCCCACGGACAAGCTGCCAACTTCTGTGTTGGGAGACTTCAGATGCTTTCTTAGTTTTCTTCATATGTAGGAGACCAGGCCTTAAGCCTTCCAGAGCTGTTACTGTTAGGCCTAAACACAATATGCCTTGTTGCCAGACTCAAGAAACAGGCCTCAGATGTAACCTTTTACCATCCCTTTAGCTAAAGGACAATAAATGTTCATAGCAGTCTCACCTATGTCTCATGGTAAATAACTAGATACAAAGGCCTAAGAAAAATGTTGTTTGAGGGTCTAAGAAAGTGTCTTACGGTTGGCAAATGCAAGTTATAGATGTTTGAGGGTCTAAGAAAGTATTTTAAGGTTGGTAAATACAAATTATAAAGGTTGTAAGGTCTAAGGTGATTTAAGGTATCCTAAATAGGTAAAAATGCTTGAGTGACTGTCCAGAGCTCTGACCTTTATCAATTGAGCTCTGACATATTAATATAACTCTACCGCAAAAACATTCTACCATGCCACCCACTAACATGGTTCCAAGCCCAAGATTTTAAATCTCTTATAAATCTCTATAATGTGTAATCATACTAAAGAGTAAGATCAAGTTAGCTTTTGTCCCTTCTACTTCATGAAAGGCTTCTGCCTTTCCAGAGCTCACCTTAAAGAATGCTTATGCTGTTAACACAAATGTGTATGTCCACTGCTTTTTCTACAATGTATATTTCAGTGAAGATTACAATTGTGATGCTAACTTGTCTAAAGTTTTATCTCCTTTGTAAAACTTAAAAGTAATTCTTGTAAGCTGCAGGAAATCCACCTGAATCCACCTCTCAGGTCAACTGAGCTCCAGATAAGTACTGTACCTATTGCCTATCTCAGAGGGTGGGATTCCTCCCCTTTCCCTGGATTTGGGACTTCCCCTTCCTGGCTACTTGATTGCTACATTCCTACCTCCAACACCTGCTGATTGGTGAGTTTTCCCTTTTGGTTGGTATCAATTTCTGACTACAGATTGCTGCACTTGTATACCTAATACCAGCTGATTGCTGAGTCTTCACTTCTGGATGGCGCAAAAGCTTCCTACCGCTCTCGCCAACCTACATCCAAACCCTTCATCTAGGACCATCTTCTCCCTTGGGTAATATTTTCCCTCTACCACCACAGTTTCTCTCCCTGTCCCTTTCGCTTGTCTATGAAAATCTTAGCGCGAGGTAAACCATGTCTGCTACATGCAACTGTGCCCTTGGTCTCTGTCCAACGCTGACGAGCTGTTGGAACAGATTGCACCAATCTACTGAGTCAAAACTTGCTCTTGAGATGCCTTGACAGATCACTAACTCCTACCTGCCCAATGGGAATAGTCCATTCGTCCATTCCTCCAGATTCTCCTCTGGGGTGTCTTCTGGAGAATTTCAGATTTCTACACCTAGTACCTGCTTTAAGGGCCTCTAATCATACACACCTCTGTAACCAATCTTGGCCTCAATTTCCTTAGATGACAGATCCAGAACAAAGCCTTTTTAATTAATTCCAGTGATTGTGTAAATGGAGGTTCCCTCAGGTAAATGGAGGGTCCCGTGTTCAAGTCTCTTTGATCCAAATCTTCCACCTCTGCTTGCTCTTCCAAAAGTTTTAACTGTACACCTAAAGAAAATTTCTCCATAACCTACTTAACTTTGTCTTCTGCCTATACGTATTTCTGTACTCTGCCAGACCCAGGTGTTTCCTACATCCACAACAGTGCCAGTCTGCCCTCACAGACTTCCATCAAGCTGGACCTGCACTTTCCCTCCCAGCCATGGATGTTCTCATAGACCCTGGACAGCATCAAAACAGCCTATTCTTCCTGGACTTCGCTAAAATTTCAGCCTTTTGACTTCCCTACAGTGGCCTCAGTGTCAGCAGGAAGTAGCCAGAAGAGAATCTACGCCTGTTACTCACTTATTAACAAAAGGCTGCAATGGTGTGCCTCAGGCCAGGAGAATTAGTTCCAGTTTCTCCCAGCATTCCTCAGTTCCTACCTGCTGCCTTGTGTGGCTGGCAATTTTCTATTGGCAACCCTCTACCCTGAACTTTCCAGAGCAGGGGTTTCTCTCCTCCTCTTGACCATGTAATCTGGACATTTTGTTGCTATTTTTTTTTCTCTCTCTAACCCCCTTGCAAGGCAACCAAGAGTTGCTTCCAATGAACCTACATTTATATACTTTACGTTGCCTTACATGAGAAGCAGCCCAAGCTCCTCATTTTTTAATTACAGAAAAAGGGAGGAATGTTAGTATTTAGGTAGCCTGCTTCTGGGTTGCCTAGCAACCTATGATATCATCATGTGTTGCCTCACCTGGCAGGCATGGTTAAGTTGTTCCTTGAAAGGATCAACCCACCACTCTGCTGCTCTCTTGCCCTCTTACTCTCCTCCCTTCCCCCTATCATGTCCCCCTCTCTCCTCTCTCTTTATCTCCATCTAATAAACCTCTTTCATAACAAATCTGTTGTGCTCATCTTCCTAGCTTTCTGAGGCAGTCTATGTTTTATATATGATATTGTTGCATTATCAAAAGTGCCATGTCTAAATAGCCAACTTGCTTTTCTCCCCGCCCCTTTTTTAATTTTTAAGATAGAGTTTCTCTGTATAGCTCTGACTGTCCTTGACTCCCTTCGTAGACCAGGCTGGCCTTACAGAGAACCACTTACCTCTGCCTCCAGCTGGGATTAGAGATGTGTGCCACCTTGCTTGGCTGCTTTTCTTTTAAACAGTTAAAATTTACCAATTTTAAAAAATGCTAATTATCCCATCACATGATTTCTCAAGCACATTATTTCTGTCTGTTGTTTAGGCAGATTCTCACTGGGCAGGCCAGACTGGCCTTGAACTCTTGATCATCTAGCACTGGCCTCTCCATTACTAGATTATAGGCATGAAGCATCACATTACCTTCACTTTAACCTGAAAGTGAAGGATGTGAGCAGTCTCTTAGGACTCACCTGCTGGACCCTGGAGAAAAGCCGCGTTATTCCTGTCAACATTGTCTTTGCTCTCTTAAAAAAAAAGACAAAGAGAAAAAAAATGTAAGACACTAGTTAATAAAGACATATCTGCAATATAAAAATCAGACACTAAATATATGAAAATCATTTATGAATCAACAAACTAGGCAAAAGACAAAAAAAAGCATTCCACTCCGGAAACACTATGGCTAAGTTTAACCTCATTACAAGTCATGAAAATGAAAGTAAAACTTCCACAATGAACTACCAATCATAAGCAGCATCTTAAGGAAAATGAAAAAGTCCCACAACAACTTTTAAATTCCAATGTACTAGAAAAATCAATCTTTACAAAGTTGAAGATGTACAGATACCCAGCTATTCTATTCTTTCATATTTATTCTAGAAAACTATTTATACTTATACACTGGGAAATATAAGAATGTTTATAGGAGAGGAGCATAGTCCCAGCACTTGAGAAGCAGAGGCAGGTGGATCTCTCAGAGAGCAAGAACAGCCTGATCTACAAAGTGACTTCCAGGCCAGCCAGGGCTACACAGGGACACCCTGTTTCAAACAAACAAATTAAATTAAAATTAATGCTGAGTGAAAATTATTGTCCAGCATTAAATAAAATTAAACTTCAACCTCATACACTGAGTAGGTGGAAACAGGAAAATCAGAATTTCAAGTCCATCTTCAGCTACATAGTTTAAGGCCAGAGTTGCATAAGTAACACCAGAAAAAAAAACAACACACAATCATACACTGAGCATGCCTGTAATCCCAGCAGAGGCAGAGGCAGGCGGATCGCTGTGAGTTCGAGGCCAGCCTAGTCTACAAAGCGAGTCATGAACAGCCAAGGCTACACAGAGATGCCCTGACTTGAGAAAACAAAACAACAATAAAACCCCACCAAAACCACACAATATTTGAAGGGCACACACAGCAAAACTGAACCAGAAAGGCAAACAAATGCTAAGAATAACATTTAGAATGACGGTGACACTTAGAAAGAAGGAAAGGGAACTAGTGGAGGAAGACACACTGGGAATTGGTAATCCTAACACTAGAGAATGGTCACATGAGTATTACTGTTATTATTAGCTTGGTATTTTTAAGACAGTCTTATCATGTAGCCTTAGCTAACAGGGAACCATGTAGACCACGTTGGTCTTGAACTGGAATAGATGCTCCAAACTCTGTCTCTTGAGTTTTGGAATTGTCCATGAGAGTCTTACTCTTCTGATGGTGTAAATAAATGACCTTTGACAAAAGCACTGTGGAGGAGATAGGGTTTATTCTGGGTTATAGCTCCAGACACATACAGTCCATAGGATGCAGAGGAGAGAATACATATCAATAGACAGAAGGCATAGTGCAGAAATAGAAAACCTTCTTTCTGGCAACACTGCATACACACTCAGGGCCCATCTTTCAACAACCCACTTCCTCCAGTTAGGCTCCACCTCCCAAAGATTCCATATCCTTTCCAAACAGCAGCACCAACTGAGGACCACATTCAGACCTCATTACACCATTATTTTATACCTTGTCCTCCCTCCCTCCCTCCCTCCCTTCCCTCCCTCCTTCCTTCCTTCCACATTTATGTGGGTTTTAGGGATTGTCTTTGGCACCAGTCTCACATGGACAGCTGTTTTACCTCCTGAGCCATCTTGCCACCCTGAGTTTTACTATTTTTATACCATGTGCTAAATTTATCCTTTTGGATATTGGAAATATCTAATTAAAAATTCTACTCTTTTGATGGTGAAATGTAAACATAGTATTCCCTCCAGACCCCTCAGAAATGGGGCATAGTGGCTCATGCCACTTGTGATTCTATCCCTTGGGATGCTGGAGCTGAAGGATTTCTTGGACTCTGAGGCAAGCCTGGACTACATGGTTTGATTTCTAGGAATGCCTGAGCTACAGAATAAGACTGTGCCCACCCCACCCCAACAAACAAGACCAGACGACACCCAAAACCATGGAACACACCAAAGCAAATGCATTAACAAATTAAGACATTTTAATAAGTGACTTATTTAAATAAATAGAACTATAATAAATATAATGAGTTACATGAACTGTCTTTCCAGATGGGTGTGTCACTAAGTAGTTTATGATGGTGTCTAATTCATGGTCCTCCTTCCTTTGAGTACTACATTCAGACTGGTCTCTTTCAAAGTATCTTAGTGTACTTTCATCATTTTATCTAAAGAAGGCACTTTACGCCATCTCTTTGTCAAACCTGAATTCTCAGCATTATTAATCTCCCTTTTTATTTTTCATTTTTTTGATACAGGGTCTATGTAGCACTGTCTGTCCTCAAACTCATAGAGCTCGGCCTCTGAATCCTACGTGCTGAGATTAAAGGAGTGCACCACCATGTTAAACTGCAGCATCATGACTCTTAAGCTTTGGCTCTTTAATAAAGTGAACACACTACAGTGTAGCCATACTTCATCAGATACCCCAGATGACTATTAATCGGTAGAATGGCAGTGTGACTATGCTAGAAAGAGATGGCTTAGGTCCTAGGTGAGATGGAGTGGCACAACACAAGATTTGATCAGAACAGCATTCAAATTAGTAAATTGTTCATTTTTATAATTTTCCAGTTAAGATTTTGGAACCATGGCTGACTTTGAATTTTTCTTCTCTTTCTTTTTTTTTTCTTTTCTTTTTTTACTTTTAAGAATTATTTATTTAACGTCTACAAGTGTTTTGCCTGCATGTATGCATGTGTACCATATTCGTGCCTGGTGCTAAGAGATGAGAAGAGGGGATTAGATCCCCTGAAACGGGAGTTATAGATGATTGTGAGCCATTATGGGAGTGCTGGGAGCTGAACTGAGGGCCTCTGTAAGAATAACAAGTGCTCTTAACTGCTGAGCCTCCTCTCAGCCCCTGTTGCTGACCACAGGTCACTGAATTTGTGGAAAACAAATTCTTCCCCAGGTAGACATTCCTGTACTTCAATGTAATTACAAATACCCAGCACTGGCAGAGTAACTAAAGAAATCTCTCTCTCTCTTTTTTAAAGATTTATTTATTATTTACACATTATTCTGCCTGCACGCCAGAAGAGGGCACAGGATAGCATTATTGATGGTTGTAAGCCACCGGGAATTGAACTCATGACCTTTGGAAGAACAGCGAGCTCTCTTAACCTCTGAGCCATCTCTCTAGCCCCCCTAAAAAAAAATCTTTCCATAATTATTTTCCACCTGTTACAATTCAATTAGAGCAACAATAGTACCAGGAAAGTTGTACAATTTCACTTGTTACCATGTGCCAATACCACAGAATTCAATCAGCAGACATGAAGCTTCCAGTATACTTAAAAGGGTCACAAACCATCCTGGAGAGACAGCTCAGCAGGTTAAGAATACTTTCTGATGTTGCAGGGACCCAAGTTTGGCAGTCTACAACAGAACTGGAGTCTGGTGCTCCTTTTTAAACTCCACAGGTACCAGGTATATAAGCAGAATACATAAATTCTTTTTAATAAAAATTTCATTTTCATTTTATGTCTATGAGTGTTTTGTTTGCATGTCTGTAAGGGCACTGGGATGTATGTATGGTTCTCACTTCCCAGCCACCAGCAGTTGTGATATGCCATGTTGGTGCTGGTAACTGAACCCAGGTCTTCTATAAAAAGTAGCAAGTGCTGCTAACCACTAAGCCCTCTTTCTAGCCCAAAATAAATACATTGTTTAAAAAAAAAAAAAAAAAAAGAGTTGCAAACTCCTTTGAATCTCATCCTCTTTTATTAGTTACTTTTTGAATACAGAAACCAGTAAGGGAGGGTTTGGGAGGGAATGAGGGAGCGGGATACAGCTGGGATACAGAGTTAATAAAATGTAACTAATAAAAAAGAGAAACCAATAATTCCTTAATTCAGTCACTCAAGAAACTTGTGAAGTGTTTCCATATGCTCACCTATTTAGTGTACAGGGGTGAACATGACTGACAGGGTCTCCACTGGCCTGCCCTCTCCCTCCTTTGTGAGCCTGGGTCTCACTATGTAACTTTAGCTGTTGTGAACTCAATACATAGACCATACTGGCTGGAACACACAGAGACCCTTCAGCCTCTGCCACTTGGATGCTGGAGCTAAAGGTGTGTGCCACCAGTTTCCCTTTCACCTGCAGGGAGCCAGGGCCCTTTTGCTGTACACGAAACTACAGCCGTAAAGCAGCGCTTCCCAAGATGTTTGGTAAATACTACCTTCTATAGAATGAACCAAAGGTCTAAGGCTAAAGAAATTTGAAAAATATTGTAGTCATTAATTTCAAATACATACTAAATTCTTAGGGAAAACTGTAATAAAGACTCTTCATTTTATTTATTTATTTGTTTTAAGGCACAGACTCATATAGCTCAGGCTCGACTCAAACTTGCTATGTAGCTAAGGATGGCCCCCTATCTCCCAGTACTAGGATGGTAGTTTGTGCCACTATGTCTGCTAAGAGACTTTACTTTAAACTGAATTCCAAACTTCACCTTAGAATCCCTTTACTGCAAAGCAGCATTGATGCCACTGTTGCACATTATAGTGGATACAGCTGCTATGGGGCAAGGTTAAAGCTGAAAGTGGGGATTCAAGCCACGGACAAAGCTCTTGGTCACAGGCTGGAACAAGGTTCTATCTATTCCACTTGTTATCTGCTTTACTTAACTCTTTTGGCATTAACTAAGTCTTAAGCTGAGCCACAGTGGTATACACTTTAATGCCAGCACTTGGGAGACAGAGCAGGCGGATCTCTGTGAGTCTGAGGATAACCTGGTCTACAGAGTGAGTACCAGGACAGCCAGAGCTACAGGAGTACTATTGTGAGATCAGCAATAGTCTGGGCTACAACGTGAATTCTAGGTTAGCCTGGGATACTGAGTGAGACCCTGTTTCAAAAACCCAACCAAACCAACCAAAAACAAATGAACAAAACAAAACAAAAACCAAAACAAACAAACAAACAAACAAACAAACAAACAAACCCCACAAAAAACCCAACCTAAACCAAACCAAAAAAACCCAAACCAAA